ACAAGAACTGGGGTATAGGTCAGAGGTGTGGGAGGGTGAGAGGATTCACCAGAAACAGCAGGGAACAGAACAGGCAGAGTGATGAAATACTCTGCTGAGGGGAGCAGCGGGTGAGACAGGGAGGTCTGCCACACCATGTGGGACCCTCGCCGGCCAGCTGGGATCGAACCAGCACTGCAGAGGCTGTGGACAGCTTCATAGTGCTGCACTCAACCACCTGCACCACCAGGGGAAGCCCACCTACACTTGTATTTTAAGTTAGCCCATTCACTATTCATTTTTTTCCCTCTTACATGCTTTTATGATTATAATTGGAATTGAATGATAAATGGCAATACCACAAAATCCAGTTTTAAGCATACAGTTGGATAGATAAGTAACAAGTGGTGTGTTAGGCTAAGTGTCTGTTTTTGGACAAATTGATTAATGTCTCACCCTCTTTTAAGATTTTATAGAAAAAAGAGAGAACCATTCTGATAAGGACAATTGGATTTAGAAAGTATCTCCCTTAGAACAGTTGTTTACCCAGAAGTCAGTATCTTTTTAATCTCTCAAAAACAAATGTATTTTTTTGTTGGTTCATTATTTCATGTGTAGAACTCAAATATAGTCTCCTATATATTTCATAGAATCTTTGTTTCTATTTATTGGTGTAGAATCTTATTTGTGTTTTATTCTCTGTGGCTTATTAAAATACATTACAAATAATAGAAGAAACTACTTATCAATCTTACTGGTTTAATAATTTATTAAAGTCCATAATATACAGGTGCCACACGTTATCGCAACTGGGATGCTTAAGAGTATAGAGTCACTTTCAGTAATTATACAACAGCAGGTGTGAGCCAGGATTGCCCCAGGTGTCCCAGGGTAACTTTTAGAAATAGGTAATGGAGAGCTAATGCACAGCAATGCGATTACAGTCAACAATACTGTATTGTGCATTTCAAAGTTGCTAAGAGACCAGAGCTTAAATGTTCACATCCCCCCAAAATAATTATGAGATCTGATAGAAGTGTCAGCTAAAGCTACCCTAATAAGCTTGTAACGTGGAAATGTATCAGATCAGCAAGTGTATACTTTAAACTTACAATGATATGTCAATTGGATCTCAATTACAAAATAAGAATAAAAATTTTTAAATTTTTAAAACATCACACCCAAATATAAAAAGAACATGCACTAGATCTCATTTATCTCACTAATTAATAAGGGAACTGGTAAGAAGTTACAACAGACTTCAAAGAGAAGATAAAGTACTGCATCTTTACAGTGGCTGCTGAAATGAATTTACCAATAGTTACAGAGCTGACAAACTGGTCATTATCCACGAGACAATAATCGATTGCATTCCAGTGGACAGAATTTGTATTTCTGTGGACAAAAAATCATTTGCATTACTATCAGTTTTCTTCAATTTGCAGAGTTTAAAATAGCTCAAAGACAATTTAAACTACACAGGACAGCCACTAAATTTTTGCTCACATCAAAGACCTTCACAGTTTTCCCCTAAACAAGCAAAACTGGCAGAACTGGACCCCCTGGTTGTATGTCAGATAGTCTCACTGTACTTTGCTTCGTACATTTTAGACACAACTGTTAATTGCTCCTTTGTTAGGTTTTTCATTTTTCATTTTAATTTTCCTCACATTGCGCTCTCTGTTCTATTTAGTGATAAAATTACAACTTACTTTATAGTTTTTCAGACTGCTCAACACTAGTCATTCATCTTTTTTATTTGAGATTGGCTGCAACCTGAATTGTTGTTATTTTGGGGGAAATGCTCCCCTTTTCTGTTGCGGTTGCCTATCCTGGAAAACTGAGCATTTTGACTGCTCGAGCTGAGTAATCTGCTGGTGTTCAAACACTTTGGGCCTTTGGGTTGATTGTGGATTTTGCTTTAAAACCTCTCCCCCACCCCATGCCACAACCACGACTTGAAACAAAAAAAGAAAGAAAATGCAACAGCCAACTGCATGTACTTTTTTTTTTCACTGTTGTTTGGTAAGCTGCCGCTATACTTTTGTAACCAGAGGCTGTGTTTATTTTCAGCATTGGCAGTTCTGCCTAATGAATCAACTGGTATTGAATTCACAAAGGGGAGATGCTTTTCCCTCTCCATCTGTTTACCAAATGTGCCTGTTCCCTCACCTCCTAGTAGTGGTTTCACTAGAAGGAGCCATTAGCAAGCGGGTGTTCTCATTGAACTCTCAGTCCACTGCCTGCCGGCTTGGTGGTATTTTTCTCTCTTGGACCCATAGGGGTTGTTTGCCGAAGCACCATTGATTGGGAATTTAGAGTACAAAATTTGACTTGGCATTCCTCACATAAGTTTGGTTCTTTTTTTTTTTTTTTAAAGATTTATTTATTTATTTATTTATACAAGCACTGGGTACAGTCAGAAGCGCGGGAGGGTGAGAGAATTCACCAGAGCCAGAGCGGGGAGCAGAGCAGGCAGAAGGACCGAAGTACACTGCTGAGGGGAGCAGCGGGCGGCAGGAGAGGTCTGCGTGCCATGTGGGACCCTCCTGCGGTGGCCGGGGAGCAGCCGGGGATCGAACCGGCGCCGCAGAGGCTGCGGGCAGCTTCGCAACCCAGCGCTCAACCGCTGCGCCAACGGGGAGGCCCATAAGTTTGGTTCTTGAGCCTTGGTTTGGTCCATCTCAATGGGTCATCTGTCTTTGAACATCAGGGTTGCCCTGGGAATGAAGTTACTCAAAAAGAGGACATAAGAGAGCAACTGAATCCTGTTAGGCAAGGACTGAGATGAATAAATATAAGTCACAGAATCATTTTAGCAAATCCTCTTTTAATTCTCATTGGCTGTAGGAAAGAGGTTGTTTTCTTAGCAAACTTAGAGATGTCATTTGTTTTTTTCATTTGTCCCATTCAGTAGAAGGGGTGGAAGCTCCACACTCTTTTTCTGTCAAGCTCTGGAAGAATGAGAATTTTAGGTCAAAAAATTTCAGTGCTTTCTTGTGATTTTGGAACAACTTAGATGGTGAAAGGGTAATATGGTTTGCTTGGTGTTCAGGAGCAGAATACAAAGTGGAAATAGCTATCTCTGCCCTGGTGTTAAGAAACAGGTAGAGAAGTCAGACAGTTTCCTAACTCTACTGAGAGAGAGCTTCACATTGTAGAGGTGCTATTTTGCTTGGGATTTTGGAATTTCCAGGACTTCTTTTAAAAATGGAGGCAACATTGGTTTACGGAACCGTGTGTTTCAAGAATACAGCTTCACAGCTCAACAGCCATGCTCACCACCAAAGGTCGAGTCTCCATACACCAGCAGTCCACTACTTGTTCCATTCACAGCTAAACTTCAGTTATTCTTCAGAGGAACTGATGAGTTTTGGATGTTCTTTTGCCTGAGTCTGTTTAACAGTGATCATGTCCTTTATCAGCACCTAGATCCACTTCTTGACATATTACATAAATGAAAAAAAAATTCTCTTAAATCTGATTGTGTGAATATTCCATGCTACTCTCTCCTGTGTACTGTGCCGTTTCACTCAGCTTACTAAACAGTTTTGGAAGAACTGAGTGTCAGCCAAGAAATCTTTTGAGTACTATTAAATGTTATTACTCTATTCTGACCTAGAAAAGGGACAGTAAACTTTTTTTAAATATAAGGTCACTGACACATTGAAGTTAAGAACTGTTTACCTCTTCTTCCCACCCCTCCCAGGAACAAATTTAGACACTATATTGGCCTGTGTTGCCCTCATTGTATTCCCAAAGGATTTCAAATTATGAATTTGTTTTGGAATTTACGGAAGAGTAAAGATCATGAGAAAAACTGTTCAATCACTATAAAAAACTACTAGGTAACTGAGGAAAGCTGAGAGAGGGACTTTGTTTTGAAATGGCAAGAGAAAGACACTAAGGGAATTGGGGAATCTAGATATATACATGAACGAAATGCCAGGGAGAAAGAACACCTTTTCTTCTACCCTCTTATATTAAGCTCTGGAGACATGTGAATTAAACTGTCAAAAGACAAATTAGCCAGAGGAAAGAAAGTGTTTACATATGCATGGAATGCTCATACAGTGAGGAGTTTCTCTAAGGAGTAGTTAGAATTTGACATTTTTATACCTAACCTAGTAAGGGAAGGGAATTGGGAGGAATAGATTCCTATGAGAAGAATCAGTCGGTTTCTGTAGGAAAATAAATGTCATTGTTTCAAGAGAACCAATATGAAAGTTTGTGTTAGTGTTTGCTTATCATAGAAGTTTGGCTTTTCTGTCTTCAAGGCCATGAAACTCCCTCCATCCTCCCTGGGAGAGGGGACTTAGCCTCATTTCCCAGAAATAGCTGCTTTTTGTCAGCTAAAGGAGGCTCTGAAAACTTTTTTCTGCATCTGTTGGAATCTCAGATGTCTTCAGCCTAAAATAATAGTTACACCAACTATAGGGTTCTAAGTGGGTCCCCACAGGGAAAAGGGTATATTTACATTGGGGAAGGAGACTCAAGGATGAAGAGGACGGAGGCTCAGTAGATTGTGAGAAGTTAATTCAGAATTAAAGTCTTCATTTCTCGATTCCGTGGAAATTTGATTAGGACGTCTAAAGTTTAGCAACTCTTCATGGCAACTTCTTCTACTCCCTGAAAATTGGTTCTGCATGAAAGTCTGTCTACATCTGCCCAACTCAAGTAGAGTTATTCTGGAGCCTATCTGGATCTGCCTACATCAATCCTGAGGTCCTAGGGTCGGTCGTTGCACCCATATTTTATGTTTTAATAATTTTGTTGCAATTCTTTTTGAAATAGCACAATTAAAATTTTTATATTTTTAAGGTTCAAGAAAAAATGTATTATTGATGTTTCAAATATGAAGTAATAATGGTCATCAAGTTTCTGAGTGATTCATCTTGGGATAATTTTGCATGTATTTTTAAAAATTTGATAAAATTTCTATTTGCCTCTTTGCCATGTAACCTGTATCATTTTATATGTACTTTTGTTTTCATTTACATTTTATTACCTTTTCTCCCCAGTCATCAAACACAGACAACCTGTTGGGATCATCCCAAAATGACTGAACTCTTTCAATCCCTTGGTGAGTACAATTTCATTTAAGAGCAATAACCTACTGTAAACAATTGAGAATTATATATATTCCTAAATGGAGACTAATCACCAGCCTCTCTTAGATGACATGTTATATATAAAGGATCATGTCACTGACACAGAAAAGGAGCTGAATTTCTAAGAACAATGGAGTAAACAGGTTTTACCTTTCTTCTGAAAAGAATGAGTGATTTGAAATAGCATGAGCCATGTAATTGGAAGTCATATCTCCTTCATATTAAGTCATCTTAACCTTCAGCTTTGTATGAAAACAAAAATAATATAGCAATCTCCAATTCACTGCTTGAAAGTCACTCTCTTCTTATTTAGTAAAATCTTATTACATTAACTTGCTTAAATTCATTTTGTCTAAGTAGTCATGAAAAACTAAATACATTTTAATATGAAAATGAAAGATAGCACAGGAGATGAAAATTCTGATTGTCACAGATCCTGACCCAAAAGAGTGGGCCCTTTGCCCTCTAGGGAAAGAATTCACCAGAGAGTGCCAGGTCTAGTTAAACCAGGCGAGGCTTTGTTAGAGGCTCCTGCACAAGGGAACCGGTGCTGGAAAAGATAATTACTCTGGCTCTGCACAGGGAGTGAGGAGGCAGTATTTAAAGGGTAGGCCCAAAAGGCTGATAGACAGGGAGCAGTTTGAGGTTTGTTTGAGGTTGAGCTACATCCAGACGTTCCATCTGCACATGTGATCTCCAAGCCTTCTCATCCCAGGGAGTTGTGAGATATCCATTGGTCAGGAGCTAACACTTTTTGTCCAACGTGATGCCTTGTGTCCAGTGTAGTGGGCCAGATTGTTTGGACAGGATGTTGGTTGGGGCTCACAAGTCCATGATGAACTCCACCCATTCTAATAGGACTTTGTGCAACCTTTCTCTTAACAGCGCACAATTGCTTTTACTGAGGCTGTCTTGTGATCCTGTGGCTTTCCAGTTGAAACTGACTTTGAACTGTTTTGCCTACTTTGGGTTGGTCCAGTGGTTTTGAAAGGGTTTTCTCTTTGAGTAGCTACAGTGCTGCTGGGGCCTCTCTCTGAGCTTTCATGGGAAGGGGGAAGGGCAACTGCAAAGGCTGAAGAAGTGAGAGAAAAGACACTGGTTTGTTTAATTTGTAAACTTAGGGGGACACATTTTGATGATTTCCATGTTTACTTTTATTTCTGCTGGTTTCTAATATTGATACTCTCTTTAGGGAACAAAGAAAGAAATTGTACTATCTGTTGTTTCTAAAGATTTGAAGATTGATTTTAGGATGATTTTAAAAGATCCATGAAAGTACAGAAGCAGCAAAAAAAAAAAAATCAAGACATAAATGAGCATAGAAACAGACTAGCTTTATGAGTAGAGAGAGGGACACCCTGGTGGACAGAGAACTAATTTAATTGTCATTGGGGAAAAAGGCCCTGGAGGAAAATTCTTCTTCGCAGTGGAGAGGAACAGTCCCTCAGCCTGGGGTGTGATATGTTTTATTAGGCCATGAAAAGTTTCTTTTTTCTCATTTCCCTCCTTATCCTTCCTTTACATTTTCTTTGTAGCACTGCTTTAGAATGTATCTCACCAGGGTGCTAATGAACATTTAATTATTTTCTTAAATAAATGCTGGGGAATTTAGGAAAAGACTTTTTAATGCAGGTGAACATAATTCTCATTACTTGAAAGAAACAAATCCTTTCTTGCCATTCAATATAAGTTAATACTAAGGTGTGTTCTCTACCATTTCAGCTGACCTGAACAACGTACGTTTCTCCGCCTACCGTACAGCCATCAAAATCCGGAGACTGCAGAAAGCTCTATGTTGTGAGTTACTCTACCAGAGTTAATCACCTTGTTTTCTGGATTGCCTGGTTTGCTGTTTTAAGACAAAGATAAATGAAGGGGGTGATGTGTTTGTGGAGCTAATCTGATTTTCAGTGTACCTCACTCAAGGAGTTGGCTGTTTCTATAAATGCTCTATTATTTGCCCCCATCAGCATGCAGCAGTAAAACAAATAAGCATATGCCATTCTCAGTTGAAGAACAAAATTAACCAAAATACAAGATTAACATAAAGAGCTTTTTCAAAAATGATGCTGCCACCCATTTCAAAGAACTAAAGCAAGGAAGCAAAGTAATAAATCATAGCCTTTTTAGTAGTTGACCCATTCGGAAGTGCAGGTTCCAAATAGACTGATTTAGCACAATCATATAATAAGGCAAACATCCGTCCTTGATCCAAATTTGAACTGGCACCTTAGAAAATTAGATAAAAGAATCTGTTCATTTAAATATGTCTTGAGACGTTAGTATTGGCAACATGAACTTCGCCTGCAGAGAGTATTTTCAGGGTGATATTCTGTGATAGTCCTTATATATACTAAAGGTTTACTTTCCCCACCAAATTACCTAAATATAAGTAAAAAATAAGAATGCTTAGACTAGAGTATGGATTAAGCTGTCTGGATCCCATTTGTGGTTTTGGTGTTAATGATTGTGTTTACTCAGTAAACATGTAAGCCTCCTAGGAGAGTTAATCCAAGAAGAGATATTGGCCTATACTTTTCAGACAGGGTAATTTGAAAAGTTCCTAGTTTTTTTTGTTTGCTTCCTTTTGTTACAATTGTTCTATATGTCTAGGCAGTTCAGCAAAACTTTCAAAGTTACCCTAGAAAAATCATATATTAAGATTAGAAAGCTTCTCTTTTAAAATAAGTAGAAATTAATAATACATTTTAAACTGGTTACATGAGGAGAGCTGAGAAAAAAAGAAGTGTAGAATCATTCAGGGAAAATATAGCCACACAGAGCTTTAAAATAAGAAAAACATATGCTATGTGTGGATGAGAAATCTAAAAGCCTGCAAACACCATCAGACGACATGATAAAAGAGCTGACCTTGACTCACATGACCCAGAGCCCCAAAGATAATTGGCAGGGGCCTGTAGTTATGGCAAATGTTGCAGAATTCCAAGTATAATAAACAAATAAATAGAATAAAGCTACCACACACTGACTAATTGTTTGTATGCTGAGCCAGAAGAGGATTGGAATTAGGGTCACACGAAAGAGATGGTCAGTGAGTCCAGTGAGGCCAGTGTGACAGCACCTTTGAAGGGGGCTCAGCTGCATATCCAGTATCCAGCCGACAGATTTGGAAGGTCTTCTCAGACCCGGTGAGCTATAAAATGAGGACAAATGACTCAGCCACAAAATCTCCATGACAGAAGAGCACTTCGTGTCATTGTGCACAAGCTTTCAATTTCCTGTAATACTTCTGGGTGGATAAACATATCAACATATTGGTGTTCTCTTCTGTTGTTTCTTTTAACCCCTAAAGAAAGAACTCTCTTCTTCAGCTCATTTCTTCAAACTCCAAAGGAAGCGATGTTTATAGGCTAAGTGTCATAGCAGTGCATACTTAGAAGAGTGCTGCGTGTTGTAAATATTCAGGGTGATGTCCTCTGAGCCACCTGTTCTCTATTTTTCCTTCTTCCCCCACTGCTTTCCAGCCTGGGGCCTTTGCACCACTTCTAGGAACTCACCTGTTCATGATTAACCTGCTCCTTCATCTCCCATCTTTTCTGTTTATTTGAAGTGCCCTGACCTTCCTCTGCAATTGTCTGTAACCCTTTGTGCCTCCCAAATACCGTTAAAATTTTACTTCCTTTGGAAATGTTTCCAAGCTAACCCACCTGCCTGCAACGTTGATTCAAGTGCCTGCACTTTATGATGGCCATGATGGCTGCTTCTCACAGAAGCACTGTGCGGGTCCTTTGTGGTGGTGGATCCTGCTAAGGGGATTGCCCCACCCCTGTTGAGAACTGCCCTAGGTCAGGAGTTGCCTCCCCTTTTGTGTTCATCCCCACCCAGCATTATGTCCTAACGTGGAGGGGGCACAGTCTCTGCTGTGTCCTTGTTCATTCATTTATTGGGCCCCAGATTGTGCAGGAGATAAAACAACATAAAGAGGCTTGGTTCCCACATTCAAAGAGCTTAAATTTAGAGAGAACACACTGCACGTAGACACAGCTCACTTGTTTACAGCAGATTCCTGTTGTCCTCGGCATGGAATGGTCTTTGCCTCAGTCCATGTCTCTGTTCACCTCACTCATTCATTCTGGAGGAACTAATTAGTGCTGGCTCTCTTCTGTTGGTCCTGCCAGAAGAGCTTGTCTCAGCAATTTTTGCTCGCGCTCTTCCCAGGCTGGTAAATTCTCTTCCTTTAGATACAGCTGTAACTGGCACCTGTCCTTCATGAGGCTTAGGTAACTCTAGATATTCCACCTCCTAGATTCAGCTATTATGTGGTACTTACCATTATGTTTGCTATTCTGTGTGCTTTCTTGCTTGTTTGCTTGCCCGCGTACTTATTATATTTCTCTCCATGAACTAAGCTTTTATGTGAGAGTCTCTTTTCATCTCTCCTCGGCCCTTCTACAACTTCTCTCAAGAGCTTTCTCCTAGGATATACTGAGTGAATGATTTGACTTTGAAAGTTATGGGAATATATGAGAAGATATGTCTGAGAAGATTTATGGCAGCATTTTTTAATAGTAAACTTTGGCATATTCATAAAAGTGATTTGATACAGCAGCAAAAATAAATGGGCTAATAATCAGCATCCACATGGTGGAATCTTAGAACTAGAGTTGAATGAAAAAAAAAAGATCAGTGGCAGAAGAAATTCTTGGTTTGATTCCATTTATTTATCATTCAAAACCAACAGAACTAAATGTTGTATTATTTAGGGAGACATAAATACTTAAAAAAATCAAGTGAAATATAAAGGTTAGTGATTCTCCCTGTCTTTGTGAGGGGATATAATTAAGGAGGCTTTCCAAGATGTTGGTGTAGGGACAGGAACAGGGCAGTGAGCAGGTTTTCTGATCCAGCAGACAGGGTGAAGGAGGAGTCAGAGTCCTCAGTGGCTTTTGCAGGTCTTTTATTTAGATTTACCAGGCATATGGCAGGCAGGGATGCTGGGGGGCCGGGAGGCTGGCAGTCCTCCCAGCCCCCAGCAAATCCGCACTCTCTCTGGGCTCTCTCTGGGGTTCTCTCTGCTTCTCTTCTTCTCTCGGCTTCCGTTCGTTGTTGGCTTCTGCTGACGTCCCCATGACGCCGCCCTTATAAACTCAGTCTCTCAGCCCAGGTGTACCCACTTCAGGTGCCCGCCATGAGGCATGCATTCAGGACCACAGAGTTCCCTCATCTATCCTGATGGCAGGAGGGCAGAAAAGCCTAATACTTTTACCTTACCCTACAGTTGGTATGCTGTCTCTGCAGTTTCCTGGGTGTAGCGCCAGCAAGCACAGGGCAGGTCCACTGTTCAGGCAGACGGATAGCGTCCCGGAGCTGTTGGTGGATTTGCAGGCTTTAATGCTCTCTCAGGGAACCAGGTATACCAGGCAGAGAGGCTGGAATGCAAGAAGCTGGCATGGGCCAGGAAGGGGGTGCTGGGAGGCAGGCAGGCAACCAAGCCTCCCAGCCCCCCACAAATCTTTACTTTTTCCCTGGGCTCTTTCTGGTATTTTCTTCTGATATCACCACTTCTATAGTCATATGTCCTCTCGTAGCGTCCGTATAGCACTGACCTTGAGGCTCAGGTGTGCACACTTCTGCATGCCTGCACCCATGCTCCAGGTGTCCAACATCAGGCATCTTCTACATCAACATGATGAAGGCTGCAGGTGATAGTCACAGAGGCTAGTGTCATAAAAAGCCTGATTAATTCATTTACCCTAGAGTGGGTGTTGTTATTTTTCTTTAGACCATTGCATTATATGAATTCTTTTGTGTTTTGATTTTAAAACTATATGTCAGGCAGACCACAAATATGTAGTGTACTCTTTTGTATTTCAATTTAATACCTTTATGTGATAGGGAAACAAAGGGGAAGTGATGTCAGAGGAGGGCGAGTTTCCCTTCACCATCAAGAACAAGGCAGTGGTTAGGAAGCACAAGGGCTGAGCCACACGGGGCTTTAGGCACGTGGCCACTGATGAAAGAGTAAGCAGCGGGGAGTGATAAGCGCTAGACTCAAAGGCTTGGCTGGAATTCCGGGAACAACAGGGAATGATTAGATTTCAGTGGTGTAGCTTATGAGCCATTTGTCTAGTATTCACAAATTTCCTTAAAATCAGCTTAGGTCCAGCTCAAAGGTTGTATTTTAAATTATTTCTTTAAATTTTTATTTTCTAAGTTCTCACAAAGTTGTATGTAATGTTTAGATTTTCTTTTTTGGAGTGAGGGTGCTGTAGAGCCATTTTTTGTTTTGTGGGAATTAGGAAATAGGGCAAAATGTGGATGCATGCTTGTAGGGTAAGTAAATGATGTCAGGCTTTTCTGCCTTCCCACCATTAGGATGGATGATGGATCCTTGCGGTCCTGAATGCATGCCTGATGGCGGGCACCTGGAGGAGGGTGTGGGCATAGGTAGATGGGATTCACCTGGGCTGAGACTGGGCTTTTAAGGGTGGTGTCATGGGGACATCAGTGGAAGAGCAGAGAAGCAGAGACCACCAGAGAACACTGGAGAGCCCAGACAGAGTGAAGACTTGCTAGGGGCTGGGGGGTCTGCCAGTCTTCCGGCCCCCCAGCACCCCTGCCTGCCATGTACCTGGTAAATCCCAATAAAAGTCTGAAAAAGCCGCCGAGGCCTCCAGGACTTCTCCAAACCTGCCCTGTGTCCATTCCTGCCACTGCAATGCTTTAGCTAATATCTAAGACAGAAAAGGACCGAGGGAACAGAAGACAAGAAAATAGTTCAGGTGAAAGATGATGGAACTGAGCTGATTGATGGTAGTGGGAAGAGGGGAGATGAGAGTGGATTTGTAAGTAGGAGGGAGAACCCATGGTTGAGGGGATTTGGTAGTTGGTAAATTGCCGAGGACGAAAGGAGCATAGGATAATATCTCATCATTTCCAGACTGATGGTCTAGAGGAGGTCATGGCAACATTCCAAGATTTCAGCATAATTAGAAGGCCAGTCCTTTATTTTGAAGATAATCAGGCGAGGTTCCTGAAAGAGAACAATATAGCTCTAGGAGGGAACAGAGCAGCTGGAAAGTGGATGGAATGGAGTGTTCAGGCAGGAGATCAGGGTAAGGAACATCTGCAGTTGTCCTCAGAGACTAGTAATTGAGCGAGTCCCCAGGCTAGTGACAGGGAAGATATGTGTCTGACACATCTGGGCAAGAGAAGATCAGAAAGGTGCTAAGAAAGAAAGGCCAAGGTCAAACAATCCTCATGCCCAACCTTACGAGAGTCACAAACGTGCTAAGCCAATGTGTTTTGAAGAGCAGGAGAGTGACGACCACCTCCATGTGCTCTCTCCACCTCAGATGTGGGACTAAGGAAAAAGCCTGAAAGTTGCTTAGAAAGTGATTCTTTTGCCACATGACTGAGCTGTCATTTGACTCCCTTTAAAAACAAAAAAAAATCATAATTTCTGGGATTGAAATGTAGCCAGTTCTTTAAAGGTATACCTCAGTGTGACACACTCCAGGGAGAGGCATGCCGACTGAGGCAAAGTGTCAGAGGAAATCACCAAAATTGAAGACATGATATCATGTGGGATGTGGAGAGAGTGACTGTCAAAGCTGCAAAGTATATTCCAAAGGAGATTTTTCTGGAAGAAATGCAAGGACAGCCTGAACCAGGAAACAGTCTTTTTGGAATTTGCTCTATTGTCACTTTATACCGTGTGAGGGGATTACAATAGCCAGCCTGTGTGCTGGCATTAATTAGTATTGGAATTCAGAAAATTTAGACATGTTGGCAGTCTTTGAATATGTTCTTTTGTATCTGTGTGGAATTATACTTCTGTAACTACTGTCATTTGTTAAGCATTTCCCTTTGTCAGACACTATGGAGAATGAATTTGAATTTTGCCCCTGTCCTCTGGAAGTTTATAATTGAAAATAGCGTACAGTGCCAAGAAGTGGGGTAAAAAGAACAATGAAAATTCCAGATGGTTCTTTGTTTTTTTCCCCTAACATAATTGATCTTCTAACTCATATGAAGTTATTTTTATTATCTGAAATTTTAACAATAATGTATTTGACATCTAAAGAATATGGATTGTCCTGTTATTCAGATTTGCATATCTCCGTTCATTAAAACATGTATTCCCTATTGAGTTTAGAAATAGTTTTTAATCTGTAATAATTTAAGTCCCAGAATGTTCTCTTAAAGCATTTTCACCCTTTTTAGTAGAGCTCTCTGTATGCTCCACAGACCTGTTATCTTGGCGGGCAGGGGCTCTGCCTTCTCTTTCCCTGTCCGCCTTCATCCTCTGTAGATGTTCTGCACATGGAGAGTAAGCACATGAAGGCCTGGAGATGTGGGGACTATATTGTGGACCTCATACGTGCTAGAGTATCCTGGGAATCCAGCCAGGTTAAGGCAAGACTGTCAGGGCCCTATATCAAGCCTGATGTGATAGGCAGTGCGGAGCTATTATTTTCTGCAGAATATATTTAACTGAACATCTTCAGTGGACTTTGAAAGTTATGATGTACTGTTGAGAAACTGTTCATGAATGAGTTACTGGGCAGTGATATAAAAGATGAACGGGAGGGTGGTGAGTTGGTTGTTCTCCAGAGCTAGGAAGAGGAGAACAATATATATGGGAAATTCTACAAGTTGAGGTAGATACAGAGGTTTCTATTTTTCCTATATTGCAGAGAAAGAAAACTTCAGATAGGAAAGCTAGCAAAGGAAAGTAGGAAAATTTGATATTCCAAAGAGCAAGAAATGGGATCAGATTGGCAAGTGACCAAGTTCAGATTCAAAAGTATGCAGTGTGGAAAAAGAAAGAGGTTCAAAATGAAAGAATGGCAATGCTAGTTGTTTCCTATAAAGAAATTTAATTTTTTAAATTTTTATTGAAATTAGCTTAAAAAGAGATCTTAAGTTGAGGAATTAAGTAAGCTAAATAATGGAGACTAGAAATGTTTTTGCTTTAGTGCCCTCAAATAAATAATATAATGACTCTTCATAATCCTTTTTCTTACATCACCAGTGGATCTCTTAGACTTGAATACAACAAATGAAGTTTTCAAACAGCATAAGTTGAACCAAAATGATCAGCTTCTGAGTGTCCCAGATGTTATCAACTGCCTGACAACTGCTTATGATGGCCTCGAACAAATGCACAAGGACCTGGTCAACGTTCCCCTCTGTGTGGATATGTGTCTCAACTGGTTGCTCAATGTATACGACACGTGAGTTTATATTTTTCCCATTAAAACAATAGTTGAATGAAATATGTTGAAAATGCAAAGTTTTAAGTGAATTATTTTTAAAGATTTTTTTTTTTAATTTTTTTGCATAGAAAAGCCAGAGTGTAGGCCAGAGGCGCAAGGGGTGAGAGGATTCATCGGAGACAGTGGGGAGCAGAGCAGGCTGATATACTGAAATATACTGCTGAGGGGAGCAGCAAGCGAGACAGGAAAGGTCTGCTGTGCCACGTGTGGATTAACTCTCTGGCCTGGGATGGGAACTCAGGCTATAGGGGTGATAGCCCAGAGGCATAACCCCTAGGCTACCCGGGAGACCCTTAAGTGAATTTTTTAAAAAGGTCTCTCAAAGTACTTTTCTCTATGGAAATATATTAATTAGTGAAAAGGAATGACTTTCCAAAAACAGAGCTCTTAACCAACCATAGAAGACAAAAGAATGTTCATCTAGTATTTTAAGATTTTGCTTCAATTTATAAAGAATGCGACATTTGTAGTATATTTTTATCACTCTTCTTGGGGAAATCTAAATAAGTCTAGCTTCTTTCTCCTTCCATAATTCTTTAGTATTTCTTTTATCTGAAGTCAAATTTGTTTTTATTGTTATGAATAAAATAATATATTGACTCATAATAATCCATACTGCAATTTTTGTGTGACAACTTCAGAACAATTTGGATGGCAATTAAAGGGATTTAATTTGTCTTTTGGTATTAGTTTTATTTATTGCTGTGGTGGGTATATGTGTATATGGTGTTTTAAATAATTTATGCTATAGGATATTTTAATATCTGTAATTAATTATGTACTCACTATTACACCAAGAGCACCCTGAACTTCTAGCATAACTCATTTGCCATTAATTTGCTTTTTTTTTTTTAAATGTGAAATGCATTTGTGAAATAATCAATTCCAGAACGACCTGCTGTGGGCTGACATTTCTGGAACATTAGGAATTATTCATCCTTCTGGTAGGGGGTTAAAGTATGCGAAGATGAAATAAAAAAAAAGTAGAGCTGTTGTTTTTGTCTCAGACCTTAAAAGTTATTTTCCATTAATTAGCTGTATGAAAATTTGCATTTAGAAGCCTTTTATTTGATTTTCAGAGAAAGATGATAGATGATCATTCATAAATGCATGTTTAGCAGCTGATTGATTCTGAATAAGTAGGTGACAATAGCTTTAGAGATGGGTTAATTTAAAAATAGCTATTCTTTTGATTATAAAAATTTTTCATTTTTCAATATTCACAAATATAGCAAAATCCTTTTTAAATAATCCAGTAGTCATTGTGCGTTTGAAGGCTCTTAAAAAATTCACTGAAGAACAGATAGCGTGAATCTTAAGTTACAGTAATCATGGTTCGATTTACATTATCTGTCTGATCTCTTTTAATGCATTTCATTTTAATGTGAATTTTTATCTTCCATGGGTGAAATATGACTGCTAGCAATTATCAACTATTAACTTGGTCTTCAATTTTTTTAACTTTTAAAAGACATTTTCTATAGTAGATTCACCAAAAATGTTTGTCAAATAGATTAACTACAAAGCCTGACACTAAATTTTACATCTCAGGAAGAATGCTAGATAATCAGAGTGCTTAGGATTTGTATGAAGTTCTGTGGAATGTGGTAGAGTTGCACTTGAGCCGTATTTTAAGGAAGAACTGGAGAAGGTGTGACATCATTCTTCCTCAGCATTAGTGTGGCTTTGGCACACTGTGTTAGTTTGCCAGGGCTGCTATAACCAAGTACCACAGACAGGTGACTTAACAACAGAAACATGATTTCTCACAGTTCAGGAGACTACAAGTCCAAGGTCAAAATGGCAGAGTGACTTCCTCTGAGGCCTCTTTCCCTGACTTATGGAGGGCTGTCTTCTCCCATGTCTTCCCTTGGCCTCTCTTCTATGTGTGCCTATATCCTCATCTCTTCTTCTAAGGACAGTAGTGAGATTAGGTTAGGGCTCACCCTCAATAACTTCATTTTTAACTTAATTACCTCCTTAAAGGTCCTACCTCCAAATTTACTCACATTGTGAGGTATTGGGAATTAAAATTTCAGTATGTAAACTTTAAGGGCATATAACTGAACCCATAACACATACATATGCTGCCCTCACTGGACAGCCCAAAGGGAGGTGTGCCATTTCATTGGAAGTAAGCAGTATATGAAATGTCATGATTCATATTATAGGGAATTAAGTGTTGGGATATTTCCAATTCCTGCCATCAAATGTGAACAAACACATGGGAAATGGTAAGTACTGTTTTTTATTTAGAAAGACAGTAACTTAAAATCCCCCATTTTAAAGGCGAAAAAAGCTTTTAGGATTTATCTCCTTTCCATGCCAAAGAAATATGGAAGACTGTGAAGATCACGCTTCACCAGGACTGTGCCTGCTCAGTCTAGTTTTCCATCTTAGAAAGGAATGTCATGAATTATTTAAAGAAAAAACACAGTTTCTCATATGATGGCAGTCTCTGATAACCAGAGTTGATTGCCTAAATTTCTCTAATGATTATAATGTACCCATTTATTTAAATAAGAGTTATTAATGTCTCAAACCATTGCTTCCCTTTGAGAAGCTGATGGACCTGATTTACTATCCCTAGTGTACTCCCCAGGATATTACTGACCCATAAGAAGGTTCTGAACCTTGGAAACAGTCCCATGACCTAAGCCATTCATTAGCTATTCTAACATTCATTCATTAGCCAAATGTGTCTGACTGCCTTACTTCATGTAGTATGATGCAGCCAGAAGAGCTGGTATCTCCAGCTCTTGAAGAAGTCAGCGAACTCTTGAAATAATGAGTGATGCAAACAGCAGATCATAGGATTCTGGAAGTAGAAGGATTTTGAGTATCTTCTAATCTGCCTTCTTCATTTTGCCAATTGAGAAAGTGACCCAGTGAGACAGGACTATCCACAAGCCCCTTTGTATGTTACTGATATATATGAAACTGATAGTCACTTTTTTTTAATCACGTGATTCTTAGTATCATGTTGTCATATCTAAAAAAAAATGGTACTTTGTAAATGATATTCTCTATTCCTTCTGAGTTTTAACATGTACCCAACTCCTAATATTCTGAATTTTGTGAAGAAGAATCCATTTTCTTCTAAGATAGATGGCAAGAATCTGAACTTTTGGTTTTGGTGGCTCTGTGACTTGGCAGCCACTTAACTTTTGGCATCTCAATTTCTCATCTGAAAAATTGAGGTAAAAATACCTGCTGAACTTATCACATGTAAGGTGATTGTGAAGGGCAGATGAACTAATATATGTAGAAATGACCATAAACTGTAACGATAAAATTGATTCCATTTGTGTGTTCACAGCCTCATCCAGTCTTTACCTTTACTAGGTTAAAAAAATCTTAATTACACAGTATTCCTTCTAGATTTAATGAAATCAGGGGTGTTTAATTCATGACTTAAAGCAATAATCTGCAACACTTGGTTTAAATATTTTTGTCGCTACAGAAATTATTAACCTACTTTGCCACAGTGTTAGGTCATATTTTCCACTATTTCTGGAAGGATATCATTATAAAATATATATCTTTCCTTTCCAGTTAAACTAATTTCAGGAGTTATTTATAAAAATTAGCTATTGAGGGATTATTTATAAATATATTTAACAGTGCCTAAATACTTAAATGTTGGGTTATGTCACTCACTGATACATTTCATTGGCTCTCTGTTGTCTCTCAAATCCCTATATCTTATTTGTATCCCTGACACAGACCCAGACATTTCCTGTGACAATCTACTTTCTCCTGATTGGGACAGTCCAATGTCTGATATTAAACTTACTTTTTCTACCCAGTGTTTTGCACCTAGTGACTACTTAGACTAATTACCCACAGTTATCTGGCAGTTGATTATTTCCATACATCAAGATTGGTCTCATATCTTCTTATGATTCCCCAGTTGTTGTTTTGTCTAATTTCCCCAGCTAGATCGTGAGCTTATGGTGTGTGAGAATCATGTCTTGGTTGGTCTTGTTGGTGTATGCAATAATGCATATGTCACATTAAGCCTTCATAACTGTTGTTGATGCAGTGATTGGTTGACATATCAGTAGTCCTTGTGTTCCTCCTTCTTGTGTTCTCACCATACACTGAAGTTCATCCTCCAGTGTAGATCATTTTGATCCTTTTCCATTCATGGATTGCTTTGTTCTTAATCATATACATGTCATTCGCACAGGCTCTTGTGACTTCTGCAAGTCTGTTCTCTGGCTATGTCCAGAGAATAAAAGTTTCTGATTTTTGGAATGACGAATACAGACACTGTCTTTTTCATGTTATAATTAGAAAATGTATAAAAAAAATGTGAAGTAAAAACACAATTTGTAGCCTCGTTTAGTTTAAGATTAACTTGAAACTAGTATTTCTGTAACTGCGAAAGACAGAAATGAGTTTGACTTATAAAGTCTGCTGATAATGGCTATTTTTATTTTGGAATTTAAATATTTATGTCATAGGCCATTATGAATGTTGTACATAATGGCATTCACATAAGAAAGCTTTAGTAAGTTTATAAACTCTTAGCTACTTAGGGATTATTTAAAAATATATTTAACAATGCATAATCATGCTTTGCTTTTAATTTATTTTGTATTTTATATGTCATGGTTTGCATGCTGAAATTTACCTGCATATTTATTTGAGAATGGAAGAATGTCAGTATCAATAGTAAAAGTAAAACATAAACTAAGAATTGTTTTTAAATAGCATGAGTTAACTGAATTTTATATATTCCTGCAATTTTCATAAACATTTAGTTATAGAATGTGCTGTATTTGTATTGAAAACACATTAAAAGAAAATCAATAATAAAAACCTAACCTGAAAACTGATTGTTAATGTGAAATAATAAAGATAGCAGATTTTCTTGGACTATGTGATATTCCATAGCAAGGACCACATATTTTTAATTTTTATAATTTCCAACTTTCTTTTTCTCCATCCTCTGGATCTTATATAATTTGACATTAGGTAGACAACTCAGTTATTCTTTGATAAATGACAGAATAAAAAACTCTGCTTTTAAAGATAAAATAAATTTATCATTTGATATTCCCCGAAATAGAGATTACTCACCTGTCTATCACAATCATTTGACTATTATAATTAAGATAGTCATGTATAAAAGCTGCATGGACAGAGGTCAAAATCAATAGTATTTTTTTAAATATTCAACAGAAGTTCTCACTGTGTATTCAATTTTTTAGTCAGTTTTCTATATTTATTAGAGATTACCATTATATAATGATTTTGCTATATTAAGACACATGCATATTATATATGGGTCTTGTTATCTATTTTGAATCTTGCATTTATAATTATCAACAGATAGATTTCAATTCATAGTATTTATGAAATTAAAGTCTTTTCAGCTTTACAATTATCATTTTCATTTTGCCTTAATTTGTTCTTCCTAGTTCATATGTTATATATAAAGTGACTTTGGTCTGCATATTATTCTAGACTAGGTCAAATATACTATTAAAGTATGTCATGAAATTATGTATGAGTTTAACATCAATTATTAACAATGAGCAGAAAAGTTGTATCTTTGGGGTGCAATTATTTTTTAATGGTTTACCCTCAAGAAAAAAATGATATTCAGAAATAATTAATATACTGTATATACTTTTAAATGCATGTAACACATAGAGGTTCTTATAATTTCAGGGGTCGAACTGGAAAAATAAGAGTGCAGAGTCTGAAGATTGGATTGACATCTCTTTCCAAAGGTCTCTTAGAAGAAAAGTACAGATGTATGTAAGACTTTCCTATGTCAACAATGTTTTTAGTAATAATAGTAACACTTAAATTTATTGGAGGTATACTTTGTATGATTTCCCAGTAATTATAGTTCCCTTTTAACCTGTTCTATACATATACAGGTTAGGCTAAGAATATCAGTGTAAAGAGGTGAGTTTTTAGATAAAATGAAAAGCTGATTATAGAATCAAGAGGTGAGGAACCTGATGGAGTGAGAACTAATTACAAATTATATCTCATCTAACTCTTAGAATAATAGATTTTTTTGTACATATTGCAGGTACATTAAAAAAAATAATGCTGAGAACAGTTACTAACCTGGTCAAAACTGCAGAGATAATAAATAGTGGGGCTAGAATTAAGTGGTAGATTTTTCTGACTCTAAAGCTAAATCTTTTCTACTTCTGTATACTTCCAATGCTAAAAGAAAATTAAGATGGGCTGAAACCTTTATGCTGTACTTTATACTTGAAACTTGTGTGCTTTAAATGATAAAAAAAAGTTAAGGTGACCTAAAACTGTTATAAAAGATAGACAAATAATTTATAGTATAAGAAAATAGTGATAAAATGTTTTATTTTGTTTTGCTATTCACTGAATTTTCAGGGTGTTCCTTTTGTTGTCAGTTAATGAAGGGCATCCTGACATTTGGAAAGGTCAGGCTTAGGAGCCAGGGAGATCTACCTTTGGATCTCAGGCCTATGGAAGTGGCTAATGTCTTTGCATAGGTCACAGGTTCTCATTAAATGCTGCCAGTCATATTCCCCCATTTCACAGGTCAGGAAGCTGGAGAATGAGGCTAGTAACTCTTGCTTTGAAAGCATTTATAGATAACATGTTGAAGGTACTTAAAAACAGCAGTTATTGAATATGTGGTCAAGATTGTTGCTATGTCTCCAAATTCTTAACTACTGTAATTTTTTTAATATTTATTTTATTTTGTTTATGCATATAAGAACTGGGGTACAGGCCTGAGGTACGGGGTGCGAGAGGATTCACCAGAGACAGAGTGGGGATCAGAATAGGCAGATCCACCAAAATACACTACTGAAGGGAGCAGTGGGCCAAACAGGAGAGGTCTGCTGCACCATGTGGCTTAGCATCCTGGCCAGACATTGAACTCATGCCACAGTGGCTGGTGATTGCTTGCTTTACTGAGACTTAACCCCTGTGCCACCAGGGAGGCCCTGTAACCTTATGTTTTAACTTAGTTTTGTCCATAAAATTTAAGTAATTCTACAGACAGTAATGCATATACTAGATGATACTTTATAGATTTATCCAATTATTAGAGGGAGAAGGGGAGGGATATGTCATGAATGGAGAGGTACCAAACACAAGAGGGTATTTAATCACAAGCCCTGTGAATTTAGTTATGTTTGTGTCTATGTGAATATACATAATACATTTTTAAAACTTGTTCTAGGGTGGCTGAGAAGTGCTTTCTTTGATTTTGCATTTCACATCCAGAACATGTTGACATGTTTTTCTTACAATTTGGCATGACTGTCAGTAAAAGAGTTGTGGATTTGTAGGAAACAAAAATCTGATTGTAGAATCAGGAGGCAAGGTGTCTTGATGGAGTGAGAACCTAGAAAACCATGTAGGAAAAGGCTTTGCACAGACTTTGGGTGGGGGCACTATATCCAGAAATAAAATCACTTTCAGCATCATAGTTATCAAAAGACATCATTGTCACAACTTAAAAAGGTAATCTCTATACTGAAAGGGTAGGGAAAATATGGACAAAAGCACCAGGGTACCAAAATTGGGAAGGACAGTTTCTGTCATTTGTGATTTGCAGTTTTCATGTGCTCCTGAATGCTGGCAGGTTCTCTGAAAGTAGTAATTATATCATAATGCTCAACTGGCTCTGAAATGAATACAAGTCCAACTTCAGAGTTGATCATGAATCTTAAAAAATATTAGCGTCATCTAATTTCTTAGATAAATGGGTCCACCACCAATCACCTAACCTTTTCCTTTTTTTCAAGCTGATTATTGGGAAGTAATATTTAGATCCAGAGAAACAATTGCAACACTGGCTAGAATTAAGGAGAAACAACCAACTTTTCAACACTTTTATATATAATAGACATCCTATATCTAGATACAAACCTTCAAATGAATTTCCAGTGTCTGATTGTTCACATGGAGTTTTTCAGCAGATATGTGCTCATGCACTCAGACTAGAGTGGATGTATTTTCTATAAACAGAAGAACAATGCTCTGGGTAATTCCACATTTTCATATTATGGCAGAGGAGGCAGAAATCCCTACAATGAAATTTCTGATATTTAATTGAATGCATGCAATCTGCTATTTTAGGACTTAATTAAATATGAAATCTCTTAGGTTGAAGTCTTTCATCTAAATCTTTCTGGGGAGTATGGAGACTTGGGAAATGTTCTGGGAGCTGTTTTGTTTTTTCCTCTGTGGCCCTTTGTCACTTTCCAGTTTTGCTTTCCCTGGATGAGATTAGAACACTTTCTCCTTATTATTTCCTGTCTTAGAATTAAGATTTAAGACAACTTGCGCTCCAAAATTAGGGGCTGAAGTGGCATTCTGGGTTAGTATCAGCTGAACTTTGATTTTGCAATGGCTAATGTCATTGTCCTCACCCAGGTGACCTCCTTCTCTCTTTGTGTCTTCTTGAGACTATCCCTTGCTTGGGTGGCCGTCTTGCCTGTCTTGGTGACTCCTTTGCCTCCTCAGAAACACAGTCACAAAGCATCCTTCAGAATGGCCTTTGCACCTTCTCTGTGCTGGTTTATTGGAATTTGGGTGTTAGATTGTGTCTTTCCTCTGACCCACAGCCAATACTCCTTTATGTATCTGGAAGTAAATGTAAACTTGTAAAAGAATTCAGAAATATGTCAGAATTTTTAAGAGATCTTTGCTTGTTTCAAGTGTCATATCACCTTTAAAAATGAGTTAGTGGGCCTCCCTGGTAGCTCAAGGGGCTAAGCACCGCATTATGAAGCAATCCACAGCCTCTGCAGCACGAGTTCTATCCCCGGCCAGCAGAAGGAAACCTACATGGCGAAGCAGACCTCTCCTGTCTTGCCCATTGCTTCCCTCAGCAGTGTATTTCAATCAGTCTGCCTGTTCTGTTCCCCACTTTATCTCTGGTGAATCCTCTCACTCTTCTCATCTCTGGTCTGTACTCCAGCTCTTGTATGCATGAATAAATAAATCTTTTTAAAAAAGTGAGTTAGGTATCTGCCTCAAAGGAGGAAGGTTGGGGGCGGTTGCTCTTGCTGAAAATGGACACCTCTCTGATGCATTAAACATGTGCTTCAACTTTGCATTAACCTAGGACATCTCTTCCCAGGGATGAGTTTTAAGTGAGCATCATAATGAGAATTTGGATAAATATTTGTTAGTTATGATAGCCATATTTTTAAAAAATGAAAAGAAGTGAGTAGAACTCTAACCAAATCCAAGTGCATGAAAATTTATCTTAATTGAATTTGCTTTCCATATGTATGCTTAAATTAAAATCATATTTCATTATAATTGCTGTGTCAATATCAGGAGGCTGGTTCTGTTGTTTGAAATTCACTGTTGACAGTGTTAGATCTAGCATGGTTCCCTTAAAAATAAGGAATAATACATTTTGATCTGATATTCATTGATCAGGTACTGTTGATAAATGACTTTTAGGATCCAATAAATATTTTCTCTTTCCTGTTGTGCCTGAAAATTTCACATGGAAGCATGTACCTTTGAATTTTTAGAAGTTGGAGGTTCCTTTCCAAAAAGTTTTCATTTCGATAAGGAAGTGAATTGTTTCTCTGTGAAATTTCACCCTACTTCAGCTTATTTAAAGTCTACTAGATTCATTGCTGGAAATATGGTAATAATTTTATCTTTAAAATATTACAAGTGGTGAATAGATGATAAGCCAATGCTGGAAAGAAGAGAAAAATTTTAATTTTATTGAATCAAGAAAATTGTACAACAGATCAGTGGTTTTAAAAAATGAAATAGAAAAGTCTATGGATTATGTGAAAGTATATAAACATTTTCGCTAAATTTGAATAAATGTATTTATTATGAATACATTTACAACATGAAAGGAATAATATGAAATGGAGTGGAACAAAAATAATTTTTATAACTAATAAGGAATGAAAGTTTGAATGTGCCTAAAAGCACTAAAAATAAAATGCCACCTCCTTGTACTTCGCAATGTTTCTTATATAAAATAGATTTGTGTATAAAATTATTTAGGGAATTAAAAATATACTTAATTAATAGAAAATTATTAAGGAATGAAAACCTAAAGTCTGCTTCTTTGTCTTTCTCAATCAGAAGGGAAACCTTACTAAGGCCACAGAATGAACCCACACTCATCTCTTGTACCATTTAAAAAGGAAAATTCTATTTATTCCTCTATTTATATGTATTGACATACAAGCAATAACTGTTTTCAGACACAGGGGCCTAACCAGTTCCTGATTAGACTTGCAGATACTAAGGTTGTCAGAATTCAGGTGACAACTAATCAGATTATGTCCCCATGAATGTTTTTTTAATCTGCATCTTTTACCCCACTAAAGCTATATTTTATACAAAAGAGCACGCAGGCGGATGAACATTGATCTCTCTCTTCTCCTTGTAGATCTTTTTAAGGAGGTGTCGGGGCCAACAGAAATGTGTGACCAGAGACAGCTTGGCCTGTTACTTCACGATGCCATCCAGATCCCCCGGCAGCTGGGGGAAGTAGCTGCTTTTGGAGGTAGTAACATTGAACCCAGTGTTCGAAGCTGCTTCCAGCAGGTAAACGTGAAGGGTCCCTGATACAGAGTGTATGGGGGTTGAGGATGTTACCAGAAAAGGAATAAAGCCTTAGGACTAGAGCCAAACTGTGGAGGACAGTGGGTACCATTCCATTATGTTAGTATTTTTTTTTTTTTTAAGATTTAGTTATTTATGCATGCAAGAGCTAGGGTATAGGCCAGAGGTGCGGGGGGTGAGAGGATTCACCAGAGACAGAGCAAGGAACAGAACAGGCAGACTGACTGAAATACACCTCTGAGGGGAGCAGCGGGTGAGACAGGAGAGGTCTGCTGCGCCATGTGGGTAGCTCCCTGGCTGGCCTAGGATGGTGCTTCAGAGGCTGCAGACAGCTTCACAGTGCTATGCTTAGCCCTTTGCGCCACCAGCAAGGGAAGTTGGTTTTATACCTTTGACCTTGAACTCTGTTTAGAACATTCTTGAGAAGAACATTCTCAAGAATGTTCTTCCCAAGTTTATTTCCACCCATAAATCCTCTTCTCATCACCAATCCCTATTCATGGTTTAGATTTTTGCTTAAATCTCACATCCTCTGAAAATCCTCCTCTGATCCCATCAGCTGGGGCTGAGTGTCACTACTCATCCACCTGACTCTCCTCTGCCTTCTTAGGGTGCTCGTAACAGTTATAATTAGATACTAAATCAATTCATTGTTGAGTTTTGTTGTGTTTTTCCCCCTTTGCTATAAGCCCATGAACAAGGACCATTTCTTTTTTAGGTTTATTCTAGCCGCTATTGGAGTTTCTTGAACATCAAACCTATTTAATAAATATTTGCTAAATAAATGAATAAAATGCCCTGGATTCCTGGTCAGCAAGGATTTTTTAAATATAAATTAAAAATACTATAAAATAGGAGACATACCAAAGGAAAATAATGTAGAGAATTTTGTACTGCTCTGATGATTACTGTTAACCTGAAAAGCACTTTAGTTTCTTTTTAATACTTACTGTATATAAAAGCATTAAAAATGTTACTCCTAATATGTTATACAGTGGCATATTTTGCCCCAGTTTATCCCATGATTTATCACTGCTGAGGAAAAAAAAATGCTCACACCATCTCTGTAAAGAGAATTGATGTTATGGTTTATTAAATTTTATAATGGCCCTTTTTTCTTGTTTTAGAGATTCAAAAATTATAAGATAAAAATTCAAACTATGATTCTCATATGTTCTGGCTCATAGATTGACCTTGACAACAGAAGAAGGATGTTTGGGCCAATTTATGTCTGCACATATGAAAATTTTTTTGTATCAAGGTTTAAAGAGAGACTAGCAGTAGTCCTGTAATTTATCAGGATAATTTCAAAATCCTGCCAAGTGCATGCATCGTAATATGCTGTAACAGGACTGGACCAGTGCACAGAAATAACTGTTGTTCTTTAACATTTCTAATGCTGTATAACATTTAATGCCTTTGAGTTTTGGAAGCGTTGAGACTTTCACAAATGTTTACTGTCTTTAGATAAATGAGTTTTCTAGGATTAAGGTATTTATGTGAAAAGAGCACCTAGAATTGTTTTTGGTTTTGTTTTTATTTTTATTCTGAGTATATTAAGGTATTGGAACATTTTCCTTCTACCTCGATGGACAATTCCTACTTTTTCATTTTTAGATTCTAGAATTTATTTCCCCTGAAGAACTTTAAATATTTTGTGATTTAACTGACCTGGAAATATAGATCCTTTGCACAAATTTTCAGATGATGAAGCAAAAACACTTGCTATAATTTCAATGAAGAAATTTCCCTCACTTTAAAAATATTTTTTCTTACCAGAATAACAACAAGCCAGAGATAAGTGTGAAGGAATTTATAGATTGGATGCGTCTGGAGCCACAGTCCATGGTCTGGCTGCCAGTTTTACATCGTGTTGCAGCAGCTGAAACTGCAAAACATCAGGCCAAATGCAACATCTGTAAAGAATGTCCAATTGTAGGCTTCAGGTAAGGGGATCTGAGAACAGTGGGGCGGTGGCCTGTCTTCTGTTTGTATAACTTTAGTGCATGTCCATCATCCCTTCCCACTTGTTCCCATTTTATCTTTAAAATATTACAAGTGATGAATAGATGATAAGCCAATGCTGGAAAGAAGAGAAGAATTTTAATTTTATTGAGTTTACCTTTTGAGTCAATGAGTATATTCCACCATACTAAAAATAGCATTCCTTTTTTACAGCCATGGCATAAAGCTTATCTTTATTATTATTGTTATTATTATTATTAATACTTTTTGCTCCAGGGCCAGAATTTTTTCTGAGTTTCTGTTAACATAGGCCACAAAAATATTCATGCATGATAATTGCATGACTCATACACATAGGACCCTGATGGAATTTGGTGGATATTCTGAGGCCTTTGGCATCAAACAGAGTAAACAAGAAGTAACATTTAAATGTTAACTGACAAGTAATCAAATTACTTTTTGTTATTACCACCAAGTTCACCATGAAGTAGATTAGTACCACTGTTCACCTCTATAGGGTGAGTCTGGCTAAATGCCACTCTGTCATGTCAGGGTGAATCTGACTCATCAGCTTGTGGCCCCCAAACCAGACTGTGCAGAGTGTCCCAATGTAATATGTCATAGTGTCTTTTCTCTTAAGGAAAGTGTTGGACATTTTAGAATACACTATGTTCTTTTCTGGGGAGAAGGAATCTGAACTATCACTCTTGTTTAATTTGGAAATCTATTATGAAACAACAGATCCTAGTCAGCAGCAGATCTCAAAGGCTCATATGTACCTTTCATTCCTGCCTGAAGAGGTATTGACAAAGTTGGTGATTTTCTGGTAGAAAACCAGTAAGGATGGCTGGAATTGCCTTTGTTGTGTATGGTATCAATAACCATACTTTGAATTAAACAAAATTGCTTTCATTTGGCGCATCAGTATAGTTTGTACGAACAGTATCATTACATTCTCTGTGGAAGGCTCATATGAGAAATAGATCTCAAATGTTCTGTTCTTCCATAAATTGGGAATACCTTCTAAAGTCTTGTAAATTCAGGAGGTCTTGTGAGGCTGTATATTCTAAGAGGTCTTCAAAAAAGCAGAAAGTGAGTGTGAAGTAGGATTGGCATAAACCTGACAATCAAGATAATGGATTCCCTGATGGAAGTCAAGGGCAAACATTAGAAAAAAGAAAATGGGAAAGGTATAGTTTAAATGCATCAGGCTTCTTGGCATAGGCAAGTTAAAAGTATCCAGTGGACAGATGGACAGAAAGAAGTGGAAATAGCTGAAATGAGGCAACTCTAGTGTGAAGATAATCCAAATGAAATATATAACCATCAAAGCAAATAATTGCTGCCATTTGTCAACTGATTACTCTGTGCCAAGCGCTGTGCTAAAATGTGTTGCATTTTTAATCTCACTTACTCTTCATAAAAGTCCTGTAAGATTGGTAGTACACTAAGTCCTCACTCAGTGTAATTGATGGGACTTGAGAAACCATCACTTTAAGGGGAAGGATGTAGAATAAAATGGCATTATTCAGGGACCTGGTGTGCTTTCCCTATATGTGAAAAAAGTAAGACTTGAAAATTAGGCAATTTGCCCAGACCAGATATCCAATAAGTAGCGATGAAAGTGGATTGAAATAGCGACCTTTTTGCCTCTGGGAGTTTGTGCTTTTAATGATATTAAAAAAAACAGACAAGATATTTGGGAGAGGAGCGATTTGACATTAAGAAGCAATGAGATGATACTGAACAGAACCTTTGATTCAGGGTGTTGATTAGCAGACCAGAAATACTACTCTGGGTATAAAAAGTAGTGTGAAAACTACAGGAAATACCCAGATTAACCACCTTGGGAAGGGACTGGCTTATAGAAACCTGTCATTTGCGGCCATTGCTATAGCCCAGAGATGTGATAAGGGAACAGATTTCTCAGACCCTGTGGTTGTAAAGAGTGAAGAATTGGATTAAAAATACTAGAATTTGATTGCATCTTTAAAGCATTCTTTCTTGAACAGAGAATAATCTGGATCGCCTGTAGCATAATATCAGGATTCAACAATGCTGAGTTATGAGTACCTGCATGTTTATTGTATTATTCTTTCTACTTTTGATTAAACTTGAAATATTCAATAAGACAAATACAAAAGAATTGTTATAAAGGAGAATGATGTTAAGTGTTAAATTTTCAGTACTGATGTAAAATTCATATGTGGAGTTCTCTATAAAGAGAACATCTCTATAGAGGCAGAAAGAGGTCAGGTTACAGCAGGATATGTGGGAGGAAGTGTAATGAGAACTTACTCTGGAGCTAGAGGACTAGGCTGCCTGGGTTTGAGATCTAGAGTATTTCTTTGACTGTATGACTTCAGATAAATTGTTCGACCTTCCTGAACCTGAGTTTCTTCAATTTCAAATCCTGAGTGCTTCCTCAAAGGAGTAGTAGTACATAAAAATAGACTAGGACAATGTCTGGCACTAAAAAGAGCAGACATTCAATCAATACTAGTTCTATTTATTATTACCAGTAACACCTTTGGAGGGGATAGTCACCTTGCTTACAAGTGCTGTTGAGCTGTCACTGAACCTGTCCATTAAAGTGGAAATACCAAGAAAGCCTGAACAATGATGATGCTCTGTTGAAGTCAGGATTGAAGAGAGAATGAAAGGGAGAGAAGCATGAGGAAGTTCTTAGAACGTCTTGCCTAATTTCATCATATATAGTTTGCCAATATATGTGTGGTTTTATTTCTGAGCTCTCCATTCTATCCTATTGATTGATGTGCCAGTTTTTAATTCTAATACAGATGGTTTTGATTACTGTATCTTATAGTACAGTCTGAAGTCAGGGAGCATGATACCTGCACTTTTATTCTTTTTTTCCTAGTGTTGTTTTGAATTTTAGGAGTCTTTTGTGGTCCCATATGAATTTTAGGATTTGGGGTTCTATTTCCATGAATGACATTGGGACCTTTAGGGATTGTATTGAACCTATATATTGCTTTAGGTAAATGGCCTTTTGGCAATATTGATTTGTCCAATCCATGAGCACAGAATGTCTTCCGATTTCTTTGTATCTTCTTCAGTTTCTTTAAATGGTGTCTTCTACTTTTAGTGTGCAGGTATTTAACTTCCTTGGTTAAACTTACTTTCAAGTATTTTATTCTTTTTACTGCAATTGTAAATGATGTTATTTGCATCATTTCTATTTTTGCTAGTTCATTGTGTACAGATGTACAAAGGATTTTTATACTGATTTTGTAGCTTACAACTTTACTACTTGATTATTATTTCTAACAGTATTTTTTGGTGGAATCTTTAGGGTTTTCTATATACAATATCATGTTATTTTCATATAGTCAAGAGTATGTGCATAACAGAATAATCTTAACTTCATCCAGCCTGACTTTATATCAAGCTACCACCATATAACTTTTATAAATATATATGTATATAAATATATATGTATTAAACTGAGTTTTTATCAATTCCCTGAACATTTATAAATACTTCTAGTTTTCTCTACATCTAAATTAAGTTTTTATGAAATTTTATGTTTTATATTGCAGAATCCTTTGTAAACTGGGACTTGTTTCAATTAGTATCATATACAGCTGCTTAATAGTAACATAGATAAATATAAATTAGAGGTTTAGTTTCTTTTTTTGTAAGAAAAAGCCCTGAGATAAGCAATCCAAGACTGATGGTGGCTTGATAATCACCTGGAGTTTAAAATTCTGTGCACTGTACCCTGGTTTATTGATAAATAATTGACACGTAACATTGTATAAATTTAGAATGTACAAAGTGTTGATTTGATATACTTCCATTGCAAAATGATTAAGTCCACTACATTGGCTAAAATCTACATCACGTCACATAATTTTCATTTCTCTTTGTGAAGAATACATTTAATACTCTCCTCACAACTTAGAAGTATATACTACAGTTTTATTAACTATATTCACCAAGTTAACTTTCAAGTTAGGAATTTACAGCTGAAAGTATGTACTCTTTGACCAAAATCTCCCCTTTCATAATTCTGTCTCATTCTCTGTTTGTCATCCTGACATGTGACTTTTCAAAGTTATCTGTACTTAGGGAATGGCTCTTCTGGATGTCAAGTCTACTTTCCAGTGAGGAGGCAGGGTGGGGACATGCTCTCTCCTAAATGAGCCAATGCTTTGAAATTCCAACTAGGAACCCTACCCAATGACTGTGACAAGAGAAACTTATTTTTAAGAAACATTATTTTTAGTAGGGCTCCCTGCCATCAACTACCAGGGTTTGTTACCAATAAGGAAAAGTAGAGTATGTTCAGCGGTAAGGAAGACTCCTCAGAAGATGTCAGTCATATTTGTCAAGCCTGCTGATAGGTCAGCAAAGTTGTTAATGTATGTGATTGTTTTAAAGCAGGTAGCTTCCCTGCCAAAATAAGCTGGATGTAGATTGATTTTCGTGAGATCTGTTTGTGACTTAGCAGATCAATTTAGAAGCTACTCAGCACTTAGTAGTTTACAGTATTAACCTTACATAACCTTTACATTTTGTTTCCATTTTCATTAGTTCTGTTTTTTTTTTTTCTGTAGATATAGATATATTTATGTTCTTAATTATGCTCAGCCATTCTGGCAGGTGAAGGATATAGAAGGTGTTTTCCACTTAAACCCATAGAAACTTAAAGTCTAGAGTTTTACTCCTCCAATTCTGCAAATGAAAACTGACATACAGTTTCATTACCATATGAGAGATTTAAGAACTGTTTCCATTCCAGGGTGCATGGTGTTTAAGATTGTGACCAGGCTTGGTTTACTCTTTATTATAGGGAATTTTTTTTAAAGATTTATTTTATTTATTTATGTATCCAAGAGCTGAGGTGTAGGTCAAAGGTGTGTGGCAGGGGTGTGAGAAGATTCACCAGAGACAGAGTGGGGAGCAGAACAGGCAAATCTACCGAAATACACCACTGAGGGGAGCAGCAGACGAGACAGGGGGAGTCTGCTGTGCCATGTAGGTCAGTTCCCTGGCCGGGGATCAAACTCATGCTGTAGTGGCTGAGGATAGCTTCATAGTGCTGAAACTAAACTCCTTGAGCCACCAAGGAGGCCCCATTATAGGGAATTTCTGTGTTCTATTTTTTTTTCTTATGATTAAACCAAATGTGTAAATACTCGTAAAAAAATTATGTGTTTGTAAATTTTGATATTTATTTCATGTTGAAAGTACAATTCATGTATTATAATTTGATGTATCAAGCTAGTAAACATGGCTCTTCTCTGTATTTAGCATTCACATTCACACATTACAGAAAATCTTCAGACATTTATTTTCTCATCATGTTGAAATAGATGGAGACATGTTTCTAGACACTTGAACTCTAAAATTTTTCTTTTTATCACTTGGGAAGAGGTTTTATGAATTTCTTTTGTGAAATTCAACATTTCCTTCCCCTGATTTAAAGCTAAGATACTAAGTTAATTTGTGTCCCATGTAGCTTTTAATCCTATGGTGTCTTGAATGAACAAAATTCCTTACAAATGATTGTTTTGAACTAAATGACAGGTATGTAATCCAATGAATTTTCTTTTCTTCTCTTTAGATATAGAAGTCTAAAGCACTTTAACTATGATGTCTGCCAAAGTTGCTTTTTTTCGGGCCGAACAGCAAAAGGTCACAAATTACATTATCCCATGGTGGAATATTGTATACCTGTGAGTACTGAGCTACTGTTTCTTTGTTTTGTTTGCTATATTGCTTTTGAATTAACTGGTATCTAAAATTATTCAGCTAGTTATTTAGAGTTAACTTTCTTCCTGGAAATAGTTTCTTTCACCATCGCTTAATTATAAAAATGTTTGTTGTTTCCTTTTAAGTGAATATATCAGTGTTGGTTTAATTAACAGAGAATATATTTTTTGAGAAAAAAATTTATTAAATTTTGCTTACATCCCTGTTTTGATTTTAAATAACTTTCTTGGTACCAGACTCTTTTAAGAGTTCACACTAACCTATCTTGAAGGTGTTATGATGTGATAAGAAATCATGTTTCTTTTAGATGTATTTAAACTGTTTTCCTAACTAACTATTATATTTATAATAGAAACATGAAAAAAAGCAAAAAAGTAAATTTCATAAATCTAATTCCTGAATTACTGGCTTTCTATATTTTTCTGTGTCTGTGATTTTGTTAAGATTTTATTTAGTGCTGTATTTATTATGAAATATATTAATAAATTACGATAATATATTAATAGTAATAAATATTTGTATTTTCAAAATTTTCAGCTTCACCGAGCATGTTGTATAGTGTTATCTCAAATTGAGACAAAATATAATTTCCCCTAGTTATAAAATACTTAATTGCATGAGTACTATAATTTAACCATTCCCTTCAATTTGGACATTTATTTTCAATTTGCTGATATAAATAACACTCATAAATGTCTTTGTGAGATAGCTCATTCTGTATATTACATAAATTACATTTCCATAAAATAAAGCACTAAAAGTAGATGAACTAGGTCAAAGAATATGAATACTTTTATAGCCAAAATACTTCAAGTCATTTCCAAAAGAGGTTTATATCACTTTACGTTATTATCACAATTTGTTAATGTCCTGATTTTAGTGCAGCCTCACTAGCATTGAATACTGATTCTTTTGTTCTTTTGATTTAAAGCTATTTTTTTCCGAAGTTATTGTTATTATTTGTCAGCAGCTATTTTTTAGCTTCTTTCCAAGTAATGAGAAAATTTATTCACAGGGCTATACATTTTCTTTGGTATAGGGGATTGAGTTACTTTTTGGGTCATAAATTGATAGAAAGGCAGCAATACTTATACAAATTACATATGTAAATCTCACATTCTTAGGCATCTTATCTCAAATAAATAGGTACTGTGTACATAGAGAGGAAATCCTATAAAATGGTGCTGAATTTAATGAATAAAATACCAATAGTACTTAATAACTTTAACTAAGGAAAAAATTACCCCAAGGGCATTTCTGAAGCATCACTTACTGCTTTGATTAACTTACTTCACTCAACAAATAAATATTGAGTCCTTATCATGTGTCAGGCACTATTTTTAGCTCTGCTAATTCACAAGTATACTGCCAAAGATATAGAGGATTACTGGCTTTCCTGCTAGTTCCCATTTAGGAGGAGGGGATGTGTAACAGTGAACAAGGAAGCAAGTAAATGAGATCATTACAGACGGTGGTGCTTCAAACAAATAAATGCATAATGAGATGGAACATTGGAGGAGACACTTTAGATATAGAAATCAGGGATGGTCTTTCTGAGAAGTTAGTGTTTATACTGCAATTGAGGAATGAGAAGGCATCTGTGTGAAAATCTAGCAGAAGGGGATTTCAGAAGGAAGAAATAGCTACACACAGTGATCATCGGGAGGGAGAAAGGTTGCATGATTGGGGCAGAAGAAAATGGAGCGTGTGCCACAAGGGAAGGGCAGTAGGTAGTATTGGCTGTATAGTTTGAAGTGCCCAGAGCAAAAAAGAGTATGTGAGCCCCTTGTCGAAAAAATGATTAAGACTTTCAAAGGGCAACAGCAGAGCATTAAGTTAACGCGGGGGCATCTAAGTGTGGGACCCTGTGTAACTCTACACAAAGCTGACCCTGGAACTGAAAAAGAGGTGAGAATAACACAAGCAAAAAGAAACTGGTAGGAGGTTCAGAATGAGTTTCTCCTTTCACAAAAGGAAGAAAATGGTAGGAGAAGACATGGAATTAAGGAGTCAGGCAGGTGTCATATTGGGCAGAGCCTTGTGGGACATTGTAAGAATTGCATTGAGAGAAATACAGTATTAATATTTATAGGACTATAGCTACAAATTTAGGTGGCAGGTTATAAAGAACTAATGGGAAAAATGGAGTAAATATACATTAAAGATGCATAAAATTACTACCTATCTAGAAGTATGTGGGAAACAAAGATGTATAAAATTGCTGTTTTTCTTGGTCTTAAATGCAATAATTCCTAAGGAATTTGCATGGTACCCACACAATTTCAAATCTGTGTCTCTCCAAAGTCAATCATTGACCAGTAAAGGCATAGTTGAGAATCACTGATACACTGATGAATTTCAGTCTCCAGCTACCATTTTTAAACAAAATTTGTGAGTTGCCTAAACCTCTTCTGGGTACATAGTCTCAAAGTAACTGTCACCATTTCGAGGACTTCAGTTCAGCCTGCTCTTCGGGTTGATTTCCCTTTGGTCTGGGAGGACCTTTGGTCTGGGAGCTTGCCTTTCTCATAGTGCATGTCCATTTGTATTTAGGAAAATTCTCTAGCCACATTGCTGATTTGATTTTTTTTTCCCCTCTTCAAGTTCTTTTTTTCAGCTGTATCTGAATGTTTCTGTTATTAAAAAAAAAAAAAAAACTTTCTACTCTTTATAGGTTTTATTTTAAACTCCCAAAACTCCAGAACATATTTCAAAGCTTCTAACATATCAACTTATTATCTGTGACAAAGTTTGCCTTTAGTGAAGGAAGACTAAGCATGTGTGAATAAGCTATCATAATTTATGAAGATATTTTATATACTGAAGTGAAGAGAAATTTTTCTTTCTCTTGGAAATGCTATTTTTAAACTCTTTATTTTCCCCACCATTTTATAATCCAAAATTTGTTCATTTAAAAATTATTTCATTATGCTCAATAACAGTTCATCTAAAATGGACACTATGACAAAATAATACCAGTCACCATGCTTTCTTCATTTCCCCACAACCCACCTTATTACAAAGGCAGCTCAACACTTATTTTGTGTGTGAAATCTTCTCAAACTCCTGTGGCCAAACTCTCCCACCAAAGCACGTCATCATGTGGCCTTTACCTCCAGCCTCTACTTCACCAGCTAGTGTCTCATACGGTGTTATCTTGTATGGTTTTCTGTGGGATGGTCTTGCCTACTCAACTATCTTTTTGATTCCTGAGGATAGAGATGAATGTTTTACTGTTTGTATTATGCTAGTTAATTCTGGTCCATAAAAGCAATATGAGCTCATATCTAACATTATATATAAAAACTATGGACTACTACAGCTGGAAAAGATCTAATTTTAAAGAAAAAAATAAGTCATTGGTAAGTGATTGCATGAAATTTGTGGCCTGGACTTAGTGATTCCACTCCATTAGGGAAATCTGTGCAATTTAGCATGTTAGCAAACTTTATGCTTGCTGAAATACTATATTTGTTAGGTTCCCAATTATATACCTGGCATTTTTCTGGAAATTGGAGATACAGAAAAATTATAACAGACAAAAAGAGGCCTTGGTGTAGGGAAATTGAACAGAAATACATTTATTTTTAGTCATTAAGCTATGGGTCATAATAAAAATGTTTCTTTACCTGAGTATTCCATATTTGAACTTGTAAATTATTATTTACTTTAAAAATAGTTATATTTTATATTAAAGATATTCAGATATTAAAGATATCCAGATTTTGAATATCTTTTTATTGGAAAAAAGGTTTATTTTTATTTAATTACAGTGAAAATTATCCTAATTGCATCTTTTCAACAATCATCTATATTCTATGTAGCAAATAACCAAAACTTAATTCAAATTAGAAAAATATTTGTATGTTAGGACTTATAAAAGATAATCCTTTAAAAGAGAGAGAGGGGATGATGAATTTCACATATGATTTATAAGAGTTCATGCAATTCCTGACAGCGAGAGAGAACTGAATATGAATAGAGTTATATATGAAAGGGGATGGAAAACGTTTTGGAATTGCTACTGGGGGCAAGCATGAGTCACCAAGAGATGAATAAATTGATTGTTACTTTGCCACAAAAGTGCAGCTGAGGTTAATTGGCAAGTACTTGCAGTCTGGCTTCATCATTACTCAGCAGCTTTGGAAGTAAAAGGTGGCAGGTGAGGTTGGTACAGTTGGAGTCTTAGGGGATGGACAACTCAGCAGTGTTAATGAGGCTGTGATTGATGGTAGCCAACTCCATGGTGAAGAAACCCCAAAAGGGGCCGAAGGGCTAGAAACCAAGGTCCATGAGGGAAAGAACAGATTTATTCATATCAAAGATGTAGGTGTAAGGGTGACAAGCGTTCAAATCAATGAAAGATGTTTCCAAGTTGGAGATTTGGGCCTGAAAGATACTTTGAGTTATGATGATGTGGACACAACCCGGTGTGTGACCTCAGTGAATACAGGAAGTTTTAGAGGTTAAATGGCATTTAGAAGGCCATCAGTATGTCTAGAAGTAACAGGTGATAGCTGTTGCTGGCCAGGGACTCTCAAAGGGGAGTAGACAGGCGAGAAGGCCCAGGCTAGGGGGATCACGGTGAAAACCTCCTTGTTGTCTTGGCCTTGGTGAAGAAACAGTGATTAAGTCACCCATAATGGAGACAATTGTGAGGAAACGGTGTCATCACAGGAACCTCAGGATTCACCGAAGGAGAGAGGTTGAAAGTGCAGTTAGGAACAACATGCAGCAGGGGTGTGTTCATAAGTACAAGAACACAAAGTTGATAAAATAGGGGGGAAAAGGTAAACAGGAAGAGCCTTGTGCATCTGGCAGGGACAGCGAATCCTTGCAGCAACAAAGAGAAATGGGGAAAGACAAGAGAGGGAGAACTTGCCTGTTGGTAAATATAGACGTTAGGAAATAAAGGGAAGGATAGGAAAGTGGTGGAGGAGACATGTTTACTCAGGAAGAAGGG